AATACCATACTTTTGCTTTGTCTTTACCGCTTCCCTTTTGTCAGAGCCATTCTTGAAACATATTTTGTGGTTTGGCTGGATAGTGATGTAATGTTGTTTTTAATGAGCATTTTATTGAAATGGCATCTTTATAAAAAATATCATCAACCCATCATGTGCTGGTGACTCCCACCTGTAGTTGTAGCTACTCAAGAGGCTAAGATCTGAAGATTATGGTTGAAAGCCAGCCTGAGCAAGAAAGTTCTTCAGACTCTTATCTCCAATTAATCAGCAAAAAAACTTGAAGTGGAGGTGTGGCTCAAGTTGTAGAGCACCATCTTTGAGGAGAAAAAAACAACAAGTAAGGGATAGTGCTCAGAACCTGAGTTCAAGCCCCAGTACCAACACACACACACACAGACACACACACACACACACACAGACACACACACACACACACACACACACACACACACACACACACACACACACAGAGTATAATCAAGATAAAACTTTGGACTCTTCGGAAAGAAGTTTCTTGATCATCCTATCTGTTTGGAAAATGAGGCATACGTTTCTTACAAATCATGATGTTTTCCTACAAGTATTTTCAAAGTTGTTTCTGCAAGTGACATTTTGGGAGCTGCTTCTTCTAAGTGTGGAGGGACCATGTGGCTTTTATCCAATTGCTCACAAGATTGTGCTGCAGTGACTCAGATCTCATTTGTTACATACTACATTATGTTGGTACCTGGATTTATCTAGAAATAATTGCAAATAATGGAAGTCTGGAAGAACAGCTGCCTTGAGCCAGGGCACCCTGAAGCCACAAGATTGTCTTATGTCTCAGATTCAGTATGTTCTTTCCATGTAAGTATTTAATAGGCACTGTCATTAAAGTAGATTTTACATCTTGTGCAGTCCAAGATCAGTCTACAAGGATTTAGTGTTTCATCTCTTTCTTCTTTGCCCTGTAGAAATCATCTTAGACTTTGGAGACAGGCAACAAAGGCTTTCTTTCTCAGCTCAGTCCTCATACAAAGGTAGATCTGATCAAGATTTGTGAAAGGCTCAGTGATCCCAGGCAGGTTCAGTTAAAAGCCAGCTGTTCTCAAGCAGTGAACAGGTGAATTCTTCTCACCTTTCTCCTTGCTCTTTTTAAAGCTTTTGTGTGCTAATGATGGGTTTCTGTTAGGAAGAGCTCAACTCCCTTGCTGGTTAGGAAGATGAGAAACAAAGGTTGGGTGAGATCATATGTCTCATTGTGCACTTGAGTTGGATTTCTTTCACTGGGACCTTTCTAGAGGTTTGTATGGCTTGACCCCTGTTGACCTCTATTCTGGCCCCACTCCCACTCATCAGCTCACCTTTCAACCCTGAGTCCACCTCCTTGCAGCTGGCTTCCCTAAAATGTCCATTACCCTGACATTGTTTCCACCCCCATCCCCCATATCCATCTGTCCTATCCCCAGAGTTGCTGTCTCATAAAGAATATTCTTAGGAGAATATCCTGGTTTACACGATGGTGGACAATAATGTCTGAAGTCTGCTTTCGGTGACCAACTAGTTACCTAAGTTTGGGAGCTTGACCCTCTTTCAAAAAAAGTTCACTTGAAAACTTTGACTAAAATAAAGACAGCGAAAAATGTCAGGAAAGATACTTTCCTGGGAGGAGTAGCAGAATCAGTGTTGAGATTAAGCAAAGTGGGAATCTATTTTCTTTTTTGCCAGTGCTGGGACTTGAGCTCAGGGCCTCATGCTCTCTTTTGGCTTTTTTGCTTAAGGCTGGCATTCTACCACTTGAGTCACACTTCTACTTCTAGCCTTTTGGTGGTTAGTTGGAGATAAAAAGTAGCAGAGACTTTTCTGCCTGGGCTAGCTTCAATCACAGTCCTCAGATCTCTACAACCTGAGTAGCTAGGATTACAGGTGTGAGCCACATTCCTGGCTTGGAAGATTATTTTGTAAGAAACCTGCATCAGAGATAAGATGGGTGCTTGAATTATGCTTTTCTGTTCTTGAATTGTCAGCAAGCTGTGGCTGTGAATGTTTTCATCCACTGATATTTTCCTGGGAGGAGCTGACAATTTTAAATGCAGAACTGTGTGCATAGAACAGTTCCCTGGAAATCTTCCCACTGGGCTATGTACAAAGCATTGACGGTGGCTTGTTTGGATGATATTGTAATTTCATAGGCTCTTGAGGAGTCCCAGAATCTAAAGTTGGTTTGGGAGTTTCTCCTCCAAGGGAATAAATTATTTCCAGATGCTATTAGTTTTGATTAAAGAAGTAGATACTATTTCCTGCACTGAGAAATGAAAATGTGCTGGCTGAGTTTATCCCACCAAAATGATGAGCTGAAATATCAAATTTATCCTATCTTTACCAAAAGTTGAATGCTCAGATTACCCGAAGTGTAAACATCTCATTGAACACCAGTAGTGTTGACTCAGGGCATCTTAGAAATGAATGCAGTGTCAAACTCTAGATATTATGGTGGGAAAACTGTCCTTCAGGTTTCCCTGTTTAATTTTCTGCCAGATTTTCCACATCCTGCTCAATAGTCTTCAGCACCCTCCCCTGTGGAGATAACTGTCTCCATAAATCAGCAATCAGCATCAAGGTAATCAAAGAGCTTTCCCCTTGTGAAGGGCCCTAGCTTCATGAGTTGTGTGAATTTTGTACTCTACACAGACTCCCTCTGGATCCCCTTCCAGGGTCCCATGGCCGCTTCTACCACCATATTGACACTGAAGAACTGACATATCAGGGTCGGGTCCTTTGTCTCTATAGTTTCAAAGAATGGGGTCCAGGGACACAGAGGCAGAAGTAAAGGTGGCAAAGATTTAATGAAGAAAACAGAACTTCCACTAGATAGGAAGGGTACCAAGAGAGAGTGCCTGGGGTATGTTGTACAGGGGTTAATAATTGCTCTCTCTCTCTAGGTGAGAGCTATGTGACTCTGAAGATCATTGGACAGCCTGTAGGCCATAGCAGCCCTCAGACCCAATCAAAGGCTCCACACAGCCTATATGAGCTCTCCATGTGTCATTTAGCCCCTCCCTACATTCTTTTTTTTTAAACTACACTCCAGCTGATGTAGACCTTTTGTATTTCTGTTTGTGTTTCTTTACTTATAAAGTTTACTCCACTCCAGCCAGTTACTCCCTACATGCTTATGTTGTTATTCCACCTCCTATTTTCTTTCCTCTCATGTAATGTTTTTCAACCAGAGATGATTTTGCCCCCAGACAACTTTCAGCAATGCCTGGAGTGATTTTGTTGTTTGTTGTTGTCATTGTGACAGGGTCTCACTATATAGCTCCAACTTGAAATCCTTCTGTCTCAGCCTTCCAAGGGCTGAGGTTATAGGCATGTACTACCACACCTAGCATGATTGTATTAAGAGGGTACTAAAGGCATCTACTAGGTAGAGGGCAGGAATGCTATCAGACATGCACAGGGCAGAATTATTTGGCAAACAGGCATGATGAGGGCAGAGCCACATACTTTCTCTCATATGTGGCCTGAGTATAAGTGTAATTGCTGGAGATTGGGCCTAGAGGAGGGAGATGACAGAGGCTGGATTTGATTGGTGAATGCTGTAGGTCTGTATTGGGGAGTTGTCCTGGATCTCATTAGTGTGTACAGTTCACAAAGAGATAGATCACAGATAAACTAAAATATTAGAGAGAGAAAAAGAAAAGAATTGATAAGGTCTAGAGATAGATCGGATCCTTTTCTATGCCCTTGAAAGAATAAAAAGGCAAACAGAGTATGTTTATTTGAAGGAGAAAAGAAAACCATGAATGTGAGTAAGAAGAATTAGCAGACTCCCCCAGTGAAGAGGGGACCAACCTGTAACCCCAAGAGAAAAAGTCTGAGACTTCTTTGTCTGTTCTGCTAGATATTCGGTCCTTAGTACCTCCTTCTTGGAGGATGTGTCTTTGGTTTGATTTGTTAAGTAGTGATCACACACTGTCAAAGACTTTTCTGATTGGATGTAAGCTTTTGTGTGGTTTGGACTCCTCCCATCCTGGGCAAAAATCAGAGGGCTTTTGCATCTGGTTAAAGCATAGTTTCTAGGACTTGGCACCTGCTGACCCAGGACAGGATCAAGAAAGGTGATTTATTGTCCTTTCTTTGTTTCCTACCGTGTCAGCCTTTGTTCCAGTTGCTTTTCTATCCTTAACTGTCTAACGAGGGCCAAATACCTGTTTCTCAGAACTGTTTGGCAACATGTCAATAGTGCCAAGAGTAAAAAACTCTGGACAAAGAAAATATCCCTTGCTGGGCACTAGTGGCTCTGGTGGCTTACACCTCTAATTCTTGCTATTCAGGAGGTTGAGATCTGAGGATATCAGTTCAAAGCCAGCCCAGGCAGGAAAGTCTGAGAGACTCTTATCTCCAGCTAACCATCAGAAAACCAGAAGATGAAAAGTAAATGTAAACTTGGAAATATATCATTGCAGGCTCTGAATCAATATATTATTATTTCACTTCTGTGTTTATTTATTGGGTTTTTTTGGGGGGGATGGCTTGAATTTAGGGCCTGGGCATAGTCTCTTAGCTCTTTTGCTGAAAGCTGATACTCTACCACTTGATTCATAGCTCCACTTGTCCTTTTGGTGGCTAATTGGAGATAAGAGTCTCACAGATTTTCCTACCTGGGCTGGCTGAACCATAATCCTCAGATCTAAGTCTCCTGATTAGTTAGATCATACCTGTCATCCTATTCTTATTTTTCATTTTAAAGCAAGGCAAAAAAGATTTTAATATTTTTATATAAAATATAAGTTTCAGTGCAGATCAGGAAATTGGATTTTGTTTTGTTTGCTTCATTTACGAGGATATAAGATAAAAAACTAAGAGTCACTAAGGGAACATGTTTTTGTAATCACATAAAATTCCGTTTAAAATGTCCTAAACATTTTGATGTTCCTAAAGTTTCATTTTCATGTTCTGAATAAATTAGGTTACCATCCCTTAGAAGTTAATGATAATTTCTTTGTTTTTTTCAGACACTCCATTGGCCAGTGGTCATGCCACAGACTATCTATTTGTTGGAAATATTGTTTACACGGTAGGTTTATCTCTTTATAAGTCCTTCTTAAATGACACATGTGTGAGTGATACCTATTGAATTCCTTTTATAAGGTTTTCTTTGTTATAATTCTTTATGGTAAATCTTTTGTTGCTGTTTTATACTGCTCCTGGGGCTTGAAACTTGAACTAATAAGTATATGAACACTCTCCCTGAGCTTTTTGGCTTTAAGCTGGAATTCTGTCACCAGAGCTTCACCTCCACATCTGGCTTTTGGGTGGTTATTTTGTGATAAGACTCTCACAGACTTTCCTGTCTCAGCTGGCTTCAAACCATGATCCTCATATCTCAGCCTCCTGTGTAGCTAATATTACAGGTATGAGCCACTAGTGCCCAGCTATGGCAAATATTGATGTTTTTAGATTTCTTAAAGTTCAGAATGGTTAAGAAATGCTCCCATCATTGTTTAGCAAAGATTTAGACAGAATTAGAATTCCTAGCCAAGGCATAAATGGATTTCCCTTCTTCAAATAATTGTTCATAATCACAGATAAAGGCAAAGCATATACAGAAAGGGGATTTTTGTCCCCAGATCATCTAAGATACTCACTGTAATAAGGGCATTTCTTGAAATAAACCTGCTTGTTTGCTCCTTAAAAACAACCCCTGAAGGCTGGGTAGCAGTGAATCAAGTCTGTAATCCTAGTTACTCAGGAGGCTGAAAACTGAGGATTGAAGTTCAAAGCCAGCGAGAGTAGGAAAGTTCCTGAGACTCTTTTTTTTTTTTTGGGGGGGGGGGGTCCGGTCATGGGCCTGAACTCTGGGCCTGAGCACTGTCCCTCAGCTCTTCAGCTCAAGGCTAGCACTCCACCACTTGAGCCATAGCACCACTTCTGGCCTTTTTTTTTTTTTTTCTGGTTATGTGGTGCTAAGGAATTGAACTCAGGGCCTCATGCATGCAAGGCAAGCACTCTACCACTGAGCCACCTTCCCAGCCCCTGAGACTCTTATCTCTAGTTAACCATTAAAAAACCAGAAGTAGAGGTATGGCTCAAGTGGCAAAGCACTTGACATAAGCAAAATAAACATCAGAGACAGTGCCCAGGTCCTGAGTTCAAGCCCCAGGACCAGCACAAATAAAAACAGTCCTTGGAGAGTTAGCTACCAAGATAGCATTTTTGAAAGCATTAGCAGCCTTGAAATTAGCTCTAGAAAAGCTGGTATTTGTCATTGAAAGACTTTTCTTAAACACTCCTCTTTCTTTTCACAGTATGTTGTGGTCACAGTTTGTCTAAAGGCTGGTTTGGAGACAACAGCGTGGACGAAAGTAAGTTATTTTTCTTTCCAATACAGATAGTTATATGTTGTAATTTCTTTTTATGCCTTGGGAAGACAATAAGCAATGTCTTGCTATCTTATTTTAAAATTTGCATGTACACGTTTTGGTTCAGATTACAAGTTAGGATACAATAAAGACACTAGTACTGGTTCACTGGCTGCACTATTCATAATAGCCAAGTTATGGAAACAGCCCAGATACCCTACAATAGATGAGTTGATCAAAAAAAATGAGGTACTTATACACAATGGGATCTTAGTCATCTATTAGAAAAAATAATACTATGTCATTTGCAGGGAAATGGCTGGGTTTAGAACAAATTGTGTCAACTGAGAAAAGCCAGTTCAGAGAGACAGATGGCTCATGTTTTTTCTCATATGTGGAAGCTAGATCTAAAATACAACTGAACATTGTAGCTTAAATAGGGCTGTGTGCATTTATACACAAACAGACTAAAGGAAGATAACCTTAAGGGAAGAACTCAAAGGTATAACTCCCTGAACATCTAAATACTATTTATCAAAATGAATTCCAGGAAATGGGATCATGGTGGGGTATTATTACTTTTAGTGTTGTTTGTTTGGGGGTTTGGTCCTTTTTTGTTGCTGCTGACTTTTTATGGGACCTAAAGGGGACACAGGAATGGAGGGAGGAAGGGTGAACAAGTGCAGTCATGATATTCAATGTGTACTATGTAAAAAATGAACTATGCAACTTGAAGGCAGGGATGAAAGGAGGAAACTGGGGAAAAGTGGAGGAAAGGGGTGGCATTGTCCAAGAAAAATTGTACTCATTACCTGATTAATGGAACTGTAACTCCACTGTGGTAGAGCACTAACCTTTATCCAAAATGCTCAGGGACAGCATCCAGGCCCTGAGTTCAAACCTGAGGACCAGCACCAAAAAAACACACGAAAACCCAAAAAACTTAACTAATGGTTTGGGTTGTTGGAAATAGAGAGAAATCAAGGATTATTTTAAGGAAAGGGGGTTGAAGATGTGTCTCAAGCACCTGCCTGGCAAGCACAAAGCCTGATATCAAGTTCCGGTATCTCAAAAAAGAACACTAAGAAAGCTAAGAAAAAAATTTTAATAACTCCCTAGATACTTAAAGGGGCATTAAAAAGTAATATGCAAGTTGATCTCATGGAAGTAGAGCAGAATTTAGTGGTCACCAGTGCCTAGGGAGAGGAAGAGGAGGAAGAGGATGGACAGAAGGTGGCTGATCATACAGGGTACAGTTAGATGGGAGGAATAATTTTTAATATTCTTTAGGACATAGAGCAAGTATGGTTAATGATAATTAAATGTATATTTCAAAACAACTAGAAGACAGGATTTTGAATGTTCCCAACACAAAATATAATATGCTTATGATAATGGATATGCTAATTACCCTAGTCTAATCATAATGCGTTATTTATATATATATATGTACATGTACTGGATTATCACACTGTACTCCACAACTATGCCAATGAAAATTAAAAATGACATAAGTAAAATATATTTAAAGTTTAAAAGATATATATCCATTTTAGATTTGTGTGTGTGTGTGTGTGTGTGTGTGTGTGTACTGCTGGCCCTGGGGCTTGAACTCAGGTTCTGGGCTCTGTCCCTAAGCTTTTGTGCTTGAGGCTAGTGCTCCACCACTGGGACCATTGTTCCACTTCTGGCTTTTTGGAGATTAATTGGAGATAAAAAGCCTCAGAGGCTAGCTTCAAACCATGATTCCCAGATCTCAGTTTCCAGAGCAGCCTGTTTTAGACTTTCTTTTTAAAATCTTTGCAAAATTAATGAGAAATTTAGAATCTCAAAATTATAAACAAATTAACTATTTACCTGCTGTCAGTCCGATGACTCTCACTAAATCATTATTTTATACAGCCCCAAGGTGGAGCAGACATTAGAGGTGTTCTAAATTGTGTTTGCTCTAGCTAGGGCATAGATCATACCAGAGAAGGTCAGCTGGGACAGAAAGCACTTTTATTTCCATGATAGTCTCCTGTCACTAGTGACTTCAACTCATCATTTAAAAATCCAAGACAAACTGAGCACTGGTGGCTCACACCTCTAATCCTAGCGACTCCAGAGGCTGAGATCTGAGCATTATGGTCAGAAGCAAGCTTGGATAGGAAGGTCTGTGAGAATCTTATCTCCAATTAACCCCCAAAAACTGGAAGTAGAGTGTGCACACATGCATGAGCACGCGCGTACACACACACACACACACACACACACACACACACACACACACACATTCCAGGATAAGGGAGTTAGAAAAATGAACTTTCCATAGGTGGCTCAATCAGGGATCCTACAGCTATGTTGGATTGAGTGGAAAGGGAAGATTCACTACCAACAAATGAGGCCTATCTGAACATCTATTATTTCTTTTGCAGTTCAGTCACCTGGCAGTGTGGGGAAGCATGTTGATCTGGTTGGTGTTTTTTGGTGTCTACTCAACTATCTGGCCTACTATTCCCATCGCTCCAGACATGAAAGGACAGGTCAGTACCATATACAGTGATATTTGTATGTGTGTGAATGAGTAGGCTTCTGTCTTGTGACTATCAACTTCAGGAAAGGCCATTGTTACCCAAGTCTATCAAAACTTATCAAGAGTTTGACCAATCAAAGCACCTGGAAGAGGCTGTCCAGTTCATCGAAATTGCATTTGATCATTTAAGTGTTGGGAAATTTTTCACCATCAGTCCTCTAACTTAACCAAGTATGTACATGTGTAACAAATTTTGTGTTAATTACAAACAGCACTGCTATGAATTGCCATGGTCCTTGGAAAACCAGAGCCACTTTGAATCATTCATTAGTCAGTGGTTATATGAATGAAAGGATCAACATTAAATGCATGCATAATTGGTAATTAGTCACCTGTGAGAGATAAAACTAGTAACCATGATCAACAGTGATCCAATATCACATTCGACTTTTTGAGTTAAACAGACTAGGACTGATTGAAGGCCTTTTGGAATATGCTCTGCATTGTCGTTTTCTTCTTCTTTCTCTTTTTTTCTAGAGAAAAAGAGCTAGAGCTTGAACTTAGGGTCTGGATATTGTTCCTAAGCTTTTTTACTCAAAGTTAGTGCTTTACCACTTGACTGACAGCTCTACTTCCAGCTTTCTTGGTAGTTAATTGGAAATAAGTCTCAAAAACTTTTCTGCCCAGGTTAGCTTTGAACAGCAATCCTCAGATTTCAGCCTCCTGAGTTAGGATGTCAAGCATGAGCTCCCAGCACCCATCTCACTTGGAGAATTTTATGAGTAATGTATCTGCCAGCTGATAGGCTATGGGTCAGTTAGGTGCAACTGGAAAGTGAAGCCCTTTTGAAATCTCCTGTGTGTCCCCCACAGCACTGCTGTGGCGAGCCCTCTGTGTCCATTCCTTTGGGAAACTCTAATTGCAAATAGATGAATTAGGCTGGTTGCCAACTCTCACTACCAACAAGCGATTCAGTGGGGCCAAGCTTGTCATGCATCTACTTAATATGCTCTTGTTCTCGTTGGATGAATCCTGTCTGCTTGCAGGTCTATATGGTTTCAAGGTTTAGCTTAATGGTGAATATTCATAGGGTCATGGGCTGTATATGATCTAATGATGTCACAGACATTGGAGTTTGTATATGTTTCCACTATAATGTTCAAACAAGAAAACCATTTAATGATGTATTTCCCAGGACATAGCCTAGACATTAAGGAGTATCTGTAGTAAGCTGTTCCTATCAACCAAAAGCAATTATGTTATTAAATTTTATAGTTCACTTTATATAAACACTTTTACTGGAACAATTTTATTTTTACCTTTTTTTTAATTTGAGTTGTTTCAGCAGGAAGGTAATGAGAGAGAGAGAGAGAGAGAGAGAGAGAGAGTATGTGTGTGTGTGTATGTGTGTGTGTGTGTGTGTGTGTGTGTGTGTGTGTGTGTGTGTGTGTGTGTGTGTTCTGGCTTTAACTCAGGGCCTGGCTGCTTTCCCCTGAGCTTTTTAAATCAAGACTGGTGTTCTACCACTGGAGCCACATCTCTACTTCCAGCCTTTTTGCTGGTTAATTGGTGATAGTACCATAGACTTTCCTGCCTGGGCTAGCTTTGAACTACGATTCTCAGATCTCAGCCTCCTGAGTAGCTAGAAAAAGAGTCAGTACTCAATTCCTTTTCTATTTTGATTCAACAATTTGCTAGTCCTTGAAAAAGTGGCAAAGAAGCATTAGACAATTTTTTAAACCATTTTGGAGAGCCATTTGTGTAGATAGTAGCTAAACTAACCTGAAGTCTCAAAAAGACTTTCTGCTGCCCCATGGGGAATCCAATATATGTCATAGAGAGGGTACATATGGCCAGGTACAGTCCATGAGGAAAGACTTAAATGGGCAACTGTTGAAAATATACCCAAATCACGTCCACTTCTTGAGCTCTAGGCTGGTAGATGCCTAGGAGTGAGAGGGCATTCTTGGAAAGAGCTGCTTTTTAAAACTATTAACTGAATTCTTGTGGCTCAGCCTCCTCAAGGGTCTGAGATCTGAGGATCATGGTTCTAACCCAGCACCAGCAGAAAAATCTATAAGATTTTTATTTCCAATTAATCAGCAAAAAGCCAGAAGTAGAGGTGTGGCTCAAGTGGTAGAGTGTGAGCCTTGAGTGACTTTAGCTAAGGGAGACCTACCTGGGCCTGGGTTCAAGCCCCACTACCAACATAAACAAATAATTACTATGATTTTCAAAGTACTTCTAACAATTTTTATAAACCATTTTTATAACTGACTTTGCAGTGGGTTTTGGCAAAGAAACATGGCTCTTTGAAGTTCTAGAAATAAACAAGTGTCTAATAGTAAATAGCATTTCTCTTCCCAAGAGCCAGACACAGCCTGGACACACAGGATGTTCTGTGTGTTCATGGTATCTTCAACCATTAAAAAGCTGCATTGTTTCTTCCAAGGGTTTCCTGAATGAATGTGATTAAATATTTCTTTGTCTTGCCCATTAAATTTGAAATTTTCTCACGGGAGGAGAAGGCAAGTCTTCCCTGGAGGGCAAAGGAAAGAAAGGACTATAGAATTAAAAGAGCTGTTCTCCACTGTCAAAGAGTTTTTATCTTCTCCATGGCACCTCATGATATGATATAAGAAATGACACCAGATAACTAGCCAGAAGTTCTGTGGAAGATTTTGAAGTCGAAGAAATCATTCACATATTTTGCAGTATTCAGGGAATTTTAAAAGACATCCATTTTTTCTAGGACCATGCTTAGCTCTACAGTAGATTCAAAGTTCAGCTGTGGGCTGGGATGGTGGCTGGGATGGTAGAGTGCTTGCCTTGTGAGGCCCTGGGTTTGATTCCTCATAAGCAGATTCTTCATAAGCACCACATAAGCAGAAAAAGGCGGAAATGGTGCTGTGGCTCAAGTGGTAGAGTGCTAGCCTTGAGCTAAAGAGCTGAGGGACAGTGCCCAGACCCAGAGTTTAAGCCCCACGGCCAACAAAAAAAAAAAAAAAAAAGCTGGGTGCTAGTGGCTCATGCCTATAATCCTAGCTACTCAGGAGGCTGAGATCTGAGGATCACAGTTCAAAGCCAGTCTGGGAAGGAAAGCCATGAGACTTTTCAATTAAACACCAGAAAATTGGAAGTGGTGCTGTGGCTCAAGTGGTAGAGCGCTTGCCTTGAGCTGAAGAGCTGAAGGACAGCACCCAGGCCCAGAGTTCAAGCCCCACAACTGACAAAAAAAAAAAGTTCAGCTTGCCTGGGTGCTGTAGTTTACACCTATAATCCTAGCTACTCAAGAGGATCTGTGAGGATCTGAGGATTATAGCTGGAAGCCATCCCAGACAGGAAAGACTATGAAACTCTTAACCCCAATTAACCATTAGAAAGCAAGACATGAAGCTGTGGCTCAAGTAGTAGAGCACTAATATTGAGCACAAAACTCAGGGACAGTGCCCAGGTCTCAAGTTGAAGCTCCAGGACTGGCACAAAAAAAATTAAAAACCTCAACTTGTGTACTCTGATTAGTGTCAGGGTGTTCAAGAGCTGATGATACTTTCCCTAGGGGAACATGTGAACACTGTAAACTTCTCCATAATGGCTTAAATGCTTCAAAGTAGAAAATAACAAGTCCCAGACCCCTGTTTTCACTGTATTTGATGTTGGTATAATTTGTGGAGGGGAAGGGAAAAACAAGTTGTTTAAATAGGGATACAGGTGGACCCATTGCAACAATGAGAGGTACAAGATGTTATGTGGAAAAACGAACTTTACAATTTTGGCGCAGGGGGAGGGGGAGGTGGGGAACGGGAATGGGAAGGGATGGGAAGGAAAAACAAAGGAGGAAGCAACAATGCTTGATAAAAAAATGTACTCATGGGCTGGGAAGGTGGCTCAGTGGTAGAGCGCTTGCCTTGCATGCATGAGGCCCTGGGTTCGATTCCTCAGCACCACATAAGCAAAAAGAAAAAAGCCGGAAGTGGCGCTGTGGCTCAAGTGGTAGAGCACTAGCCTTGAGCTGAAGAGCTGAGGGACAGCGCCCAAGCCCAGAGTTCAGGCCCCATGACCGGACTCAAAAAAAAAAAATGTACTCATTGCTGGCACTGGTGGCTCATGCCTGTAATCCTAGCTACTCAGGAGGCTAAGATCGGAGGATCACGGTTCAAAGCCAGCCTGGGCAGGAAAAGTCCGTGAGACTCTTATCTCCAATAAACCACTAGAAAACCGGAAGTGGCACTGTGGCTCAAGCAGTAGAGTGCTTGCCTTGAGCTGAAGAGCTGAGGGACAGCGCCTAGGCCTAGAGTTCAAGCCCCACGACCGACAAAAAAAAAATGTACTCATTACCTTGCTCATGTAATTGTAACCCCTCTGTACAGTATTTTCACAATAAAAAAAATAAAATAACAAGTTACAGTAGCTCACTCCCATCCCTAGGTTCCTTGCTGATGCACAGCTTTGAGTTAGGAAAACTGGTTCTAGAGTCAGATAAGGAAATGCACTTACATTTTCATCATGCATTTCTCAGGGCTTCTGACTTGAGTGTGTGAGGAGAAGCCATGAACTTCATCTTTGCTCAAAATTCAAGAAACCTGGCTAAGCTCTTGCCCTAGCTAAAGCCATGTGGCCTTCACACATTTCTTATCCTATGGTAACTTCTTGATCTGCAAAATCAGAATCAGATTACCTACCCTAATTAAGAGGATTTTGGAGGTAACTTATGGGAAATGGAAAGCATACATGTTCTTCTCTTTCCTGGACAGTTGAAACTATATATGGAAACATTGCTACGATTGAAACTTCTAATGTTTTTAGCTAAACAATTTTAACTTTGTGGTGTTTGTGCACACACGCACGTACATGTGTATGAATGTGCATGCCCATGTCCCTTAGAGGTTTTGCTTTTTGTTTTGTTTTGTTTTGTTTTTATCAGTCCTGGGCTTGAACTCTGGGCCAGAACACTGTTCCTAAGCATTTTTCACTCAAGGCTAACACTCTACCATGTGAAGAACAGTTCCA